CTAGACTTTACTTTATTATCTGCTTAAACTTTTATTATTTTTGATCTATAGATAAAAGTAATAATATTATTTTTCTAATTTATAATTGAATTAATATAAATCAATTAAAATTTATCTAAAATAAGATTATATTATTATAACTTTAAAACTTATATATTCATATTATATATTTTATAAGCATTTAATTTGAGTTTATTAATTTTTATTATAATAGTAACTATAATCTTTTTGTTATTTACAAGTTTTATAATAACTAATATTATTTTCTGAATCTTTATTTTATTAATCTATACAAATCTTTTATCAATAAAATTTCTGAATATATTATTATCTAATAATATTTATACTAGCTTACTATTTACTTGACTATTGAATTTTAATAATTTCTCATAATTATTTTTTAGATAAATGAATTTTATTTTTTTATACTGAAAGAATTCTTCTTATAGATTTTAATATTTGTAATCTTGATTTTTGATTTGAATAATAATTTTTTATAAAATAATTAGATTTTTCAAAGTTTTTTTTGATTTGAATAATAATTCTTTATAAAATAATTAGATTTTTCATAGTTTTAATAGATATCTTTAAATTTATTATTTTTCTAGTTATTATTATTCTTTCTATCATCATAGCTTTTTGCTTGATCAAATTTTATTGATATAGATTTATTATTCTGAAGACTTCTATTTTATTATGAGTAATAATAATTATTATTATATCTATTTAATATTTCTAGTAATTTGTTTTGATTATATATAGTAATATTATAGTATATAACTAACTTCTAAGTATTTTTTAAAGTTTTTAATATTTAATAACTAATCTTTATTTTAGTAATAAATTTTAAATTTTTATAAAATATATAACTTAATTTAAATTACTTATATTTATAACTTGACTAACTATATTTTTGAATTTGATATTATAATCTTATACAAATTTAATTTGATAAAGAAAATATAATTATTTATGAGATATTATTAATAATATAATGATTAAAAAATATTGCTAAGTACTATAATAAATGCTTTTTAATTTTTAAATAATTATAATCTTGTACAGATTTAGTTTGATAAAGAAAATATAATTATTTATAAAGATATTATTAATAATATAATAATTAAAAAATATTGCTAAGTACTATAATAAATACTTTTTAATTTTTAAATAATCATAATCTTATATAAATTTAGTTTAATAAAGAAAATATAATTATTTATAAAAATATTATTAATAATATAATGATTAAAAAATATTGCTAAATGCTATAATAAATACTTTTTAATTTTTAAATAATCATAATCTTGTACAAATTTAGTTTAATAAAGAAAATATAATTATTTATAAAGATATTATTAATAATATAATAATTAAAAAATATTGCTAAGTGCTATAATAAATACTTTTTAATTTTTAAATAATATAGTATTATTATTGACTTTATATTTATTTAAATATTAATATAGAGCTATTTTAATTAAGAAAATGATGACATATTATACTTGAATCTTTTTTATCTGTAATTTCTTAAACTAAAAAGATAGTTTAACTTATATTTTCAAAAAGTATATTTTTATTAGATTTTTTTAAGTATATAGATAGTTTGATTGAAAGATAAGATGAGAGTTTAGAATCAGAAAATTATCTTTTTTTACTATTTTAATAAGTTTAGTCATGCTTTATATAAATTGATCAAATTATTTATTATTTATTTTAATAAAATTTAAATTCTAAAACTAAAATATATGTATATATAAAATATATATAATATAATGTAAGATATTAGAAAATAATATTTGTAATAATTATATTCATTATTATTAAGTTATAAGATTATTTTATTAATAATTATAAACAAGATAAAATATAATATAAATAGTTTTAATTTATAAAACTTAAGATTTTTATTATTTGAATAATATTTAGAACTAAAGTTAATTTATAGAATAAAGAGAATATATTTATAGTGAAAAATAATAAATACAAATATAAATAAATTAATAATAATCTATAAATAAAATATATATAAATTAAATAGAATAATTAACTTAATTTATATCTCTGAAAAATAATTAATTATAATTCAATAAATTATAAATAATATAAATATAATAAAAGAAGAATGAATAAAATTATAAAGAAAATATTAAAAAAAATATAGTTAAAAATAGTAATAATCTAATTTAATAATAAGTATATGCATGATAATTATTTATATGATAATATATTAAATTTAATTAATTAAATATATGAATGATCATCTGTATATCCAATATGAAAATGATCTTTAATAAAAGTAATACAAAAGCTAATCTATTATATAAATAGCACAAAATAAAGATCTGAGACTAAAAAAATAATCTAATCAAAATTATTACATTAAGTATATATTATTAAATTTTTATTTTATATACTAAAATTAAATTTATATATAATTTAATTATATAAATAATAATAATTATAAATTTTTAATACTACTTTACATCTAATTAATAATTTAATTAGAGCTAGAATTAGAAGAATTATATATAAAGTAATATATTAAAGATCATATAATTTTATCTTATTAATTATTATAAAAATTAGCAATGTTAATCCCTTATTTATTTAAGAATATTTATCAAATTCTATTTAATAAATATTGAAATTTATAATTTAAAATTTTTTAAAATAACTATTATAATTTCAGATTTTAAAATCTCTAATATATTATTAACAAGTATAACAAACTTTCTCTAAATGCATATCCCATAAATGCGCACATTAGATATACTCTTTTTAATGCACAGTCTAGTTCAGTTCCAAGCTTATGAAACTCTTATAAAATTTACTCTCTCTAAATGCACATTTTCTTTAAATGCACATTTTAACAAATAGTTCTATGTCACGAGGGGTGTGCATTTTAGGGAGAGCTGACTGTACTTTTATGTCTGCAAAATATACAGAATCCTTGTGAATTTGCAAAAAATCGATAATCTTTTATTTTAGTCATTAGCATCGGTGACATTCTTAGTTCTCGATCTTATCCATGATTAAGTTCTTTTGCGCAACCTGTGGCTATTATCAAAATAAAACTTACATATTATTGAGCAATAGGTAAAAAAGATCAAAAAAATAGTTATTAAAAATTTTCTGATTATAATTGTGCTTAGATATTAAGTCATTGAAACATCAGCCACAATGATTGAACTTCTCTTGTGTCGTGATGCGCGAATATTTTATCTTCATATAAGTGTCTGTATTAGTGAATCATTTGTTTATTTTACATGTATTATGAATCGGGAATAAGTTGTTTTATGAAATTTGACTTTCTCATTTGACTGAATTCTAACAAAGATGATAAAAGTTAGTGACGAATTAAAAAAATAATCACTTAGAAATATTAGCTTCTTAAATTTGCGAGAATCTCATATATTAAAGATACTTACAATGTGGAATAAACGTGCATATAATGTGAAACAAATATCGACATTTAATATTAATATTTTCGATCGAACATTTTGAGTTTTGCAAGAGCAAATTTTATCTTTCATCAATTTGGCGAATATTAGCAGCAACATAAAATATTCATGAGTTAATTTGCGCTGCGAATTATAGTAATATCAAATGAATATTTTTAACAACTTACAACATATTTATAATTATTTATATAAAAAATGCTTATTAATATTATTTCTTATATTGAGAATTAACAAACTTAACTCATTACCACAACCTAAATGCTTGGAAAATCCAATAGTGCAAATTCGATTTGTATATTTTCGAAACCAGATAATAATGCATCGTAATTTCAGGAAAAAATTATGGCATTGCTTCATTGCAGAAATTAGTCAAAATCAGAATTGGTTGAATACTTGCAATATTTGGCTAGTTATCGATTTCACCACCTAAATGTGTATAGCGCACACGGCTTCCATTGTAGCACTTTTATTTCAAATAGCTTGTTTGAACGAAATCTTATTGGCTGAAAAGAATTTTGTAAAACTGTTAAAGGTAATTTCATGCTGAAAATCGACATTCGGTTTCGAGCCATTTCATCATTTTGATCGAAATGTTTTCAAGCAAAATTCCTTACGCACTAAAAATTCAACGATTTTTACATCGTGAAAGATTTTTTTGATATACATGTACATGTACTTTGCATTATAGATAATTACACAGCGCACGTGCGAAATTATAATCACATGTATTTTTAACCCGAAAGGAGAAGTGCCACAAATTACGTGATTAGAGATAAGGAGAATTCCCTGTTCATTTCAAATATTAATTAATAATATAATACGTAATTACAAAAGGGGTAGCTTAGTACATAAACATCACGTAGTGAGCTCCCTAATTTTAATATAAATCCCTTAAAAATTTACAACGATGAAATACTCCAATATCAAGATGAAACAGGACGCCTCGCATTCAGAAAGATTTTATTAGCAATAATAGTATTTATCGAATCTTGTGACCTAACTAACGAATAAATTATTTTATTCAATATTAATAGTTGTTATGTAAATTTACGAACATTGACGAATTATTTGTTCTTGTTTCTCGTGTTCGAATTTATATTACAAAATTCATATATGCTCACCAAAGATATTTCATGATTGATGCTTGATGTTTCATAGTACATGTATCTTTAATAAACAAACGAGGACGTGACTCGTTCGCAATGTTTAGAATATTCTATTCCTTATGAGGAGGAATTGAATCCTAGTAAATAGTTATCTTGACTAACGATGAATTATCATAAACTCGTTGTCTAACAAATCGCTGTAGGATATGCATGCACGTAGAAATATTTGACAGGTGAATGCTTGAAGTAATAAGCCAAAAAGTTGCAATATCTGAGCACTATATATATATATATATATATTTAATGACAAATAATATTGCAATGCAAAAAAAATAAAATCCATAAAAATACAAAATAGGGTTATAACAAATTATTTAACCTTAAACTACTTATGTAAAAACATTTACATGTATCCGTCAACTACATGTATTTAAGAGAATTGATCATTTTCAGTATTATTTAGTTCGGACGCTGGTTGTGGTTTCTGCAAAAAGTTGTACGATTTTTGTTCAGATTGGGAATCCATCCATTCTCCTAATTTTAATTAAGAAATATTAAGACATATTCATTAAATGCTAAAAGTTATTAAATAAAATACATACCACACCAAGTTTGTAATCAAATTTTGGTGCAGAATTATTCTCTGTTTTCCAAGTCCAATAAAACCAACCACTTCCACTCTCATATGCTTCCATTTGAGCTTCAGTCAAATTTAACAAATATTCTTTTTTCGTTTGATTCCAATTCTGCCAATTATTATCGTCATCACATGTATAATTCAAAGATTGAGGAAGAGAACCATTAATAGCACGAATATGTGCACAATCATATACAGCTGCAGCCCATTCAGTAGCAATTGTTATGACATTTTCATCTTGGCTATTAGTAAAGTTAGATTTTTGTTCGCACGACCAAGACAAAGCTAGCTGTTCATAGTCGGATGATGAATTTTTTGGCACATCATATAAGAACCAACGGTGGCTACCTATTTAATTTTAAAAAAAAGCTAACTGGTTTTATATTGATATGATTAATTTTAATTTCTATTATATATTACATACCCAGTATAGCACGAGGAAATGATTTTAATAAAGTAGACCAATATGAAAATCCTGTGCTGGCTTCGTCAAATACCACATAAGGTTGTCTGCTATTAACATCATAAGATGCACTTATCTCATAATATGATTGATTGTAGAATTCGCTGAGATTTCCCACCACACGACTAAAAATTGTCGTATCGATTGGTCCGAGCAGTGATGTCACATGAGTATAATTGTCCCCATTAAAAAAGTTTGCTAAAGCTTTTATATATCGGAGTGTACGGTTTGACTTTTCGGCACCATATCCAACATCTTTAAGTGTTTCTTTTAGCACATTTTATTAGTTCAAAATAAAAATGTAAAATTTTTCAAATATTTGTTTATAAATACCATTTATATCTGGGACTTTATGCAAATCCACAAAAACTCTTAATCCATATTTTCTTGCCCAATTGATTCCTCTCAACAGAAATTGCCAGCTTGCATATGGCACAAATGGTTCTCCTTGTAATACTTCAATTGCCCAAAATCCAATTGGAATTCTGACATGATTTAATCCAAATTCTGACATTTTTTGGAAATCATCTTCAGTAACAAACTCATCGTAATGTTTTATAAATTTAGCTCTTGCCGTATCAGGATCAAGTGATTTGGCAACTGAATATTCATCCAGTGTATCAGAATTGAAAAATGATGGAACAATAAGTGGATCAAGTACTAGCCAACCACCTAAATTGACACCATGTATTGGACTATTTCTTCCGTATGGATAGTTTTGATTTATGGGTGGCGTAAATGTTGAATTTAATGGTGATTTTGAATTGTCAAACGTCGAATTATCTATTTTCATAAAAGAAGAATCGAGCTGAGGTAAAATCGGTACATTAAAGGAATCATATTCGACGGTGAGTGGATAATTGAAATTTCTAGTTCCATTGTTTGAACGAGTATTATTATTATTATTATTATTATTATTATTATTATTATTGGTATTATTTGCTTTGTCTGAATTTGAATGTGGTCTTGCAGTTAAAAAATAAATTCCAACAGCTATCACTAAAATTGTGACAATAAATGCTAATAATAATTTCCACCAATTTTTTCTTAATTCGTTTCCAGAATCTTCTGTTGTATTCGGTGATAATACTGACATCTCTTTTATTATAGGTGTTGAAATATCTTGTTCCGTAGTAGTTTTATTGTCAACTAATTCATCTGTAGTAATTGGGATAATTTCTTCATCGTCATCATTGTTGCTGAAGTTTCTACTACTTCTATAGCTATTAATATTGTATGACATATTTCTCTTTTCGTAATACAATATCCACGACAAAAACGATAATGATAATAACTACTATGACAATTTAATAGATATTAAGAACTGTAAAAAGCAAAAATTCATAGTACAAATTAATTGACTTTAGAAAAGAAAAATCATATATTCAATCAGTCAAAAAGTTCTTTTAAAATGACTCAATGCGCTACGTTCCACTTAATCATTCTTATTCTAAAATTCTTTTTATAGGAGTCGAATCATGTTTCTCGTCATATTAATTATTGTCAAAATAATCCTTTTTTATTAACGTTAATATATTTATATCTTTTATTTGTAATACATTTGTTCTGTAGGAGACATAAAATAAGTTACATATGCGGATCGGTAAAAAAATAGCATTCATTCAGTGCTAATAATTTTTGATGAAACAACTTTCTCCGTTCTATATTTTTATTACATGTACTGTATTAGTATATCTCAAAAAAAAAATCTATGAACATTAATTAAGGAAATTCCATTCTGGAGGAATCTTATCTTTTAATGGGTGTATGTAAATATTTCCACTAATAACATAACGATTATTTCAATGATTATTGACTTTTTTGTGTATTGTTGTACATGTACATAACCTTTGTTTTATAACAAGAACAAGATACCGCTATTAATAGATAAGAAAAAATCGCGCCCTAGTAATCTTCAATAGACGTACACTATTTCAGAGAGGCTTATATTGCCCGGTTTAAAATTATTTAGTAAACCATATAAAGAATGAAAATTTTCAAGCTATATACATGTACATATTCGTATTTTTTTCTAGTAATTATTTCTAACTTTATGCCTTTTTAAAGTTTTATCAGTTGTACTTTGCAAGAATACTGTGCCATTACACAATACATGTGCATGTATTGGTACTTACAAATACAAATCGTAATCTGCATAATGCTGCCGAAATTAAAATGTAATTTTTAATAACATATTCGTGCTTAAAGGTAGAAAATTTTTGTTTCATACCTTCATATAATAAAGATATAGCGGCGGCAGCCATAATAAATCTCGACTTTATTAATAAACTCACGATATAGCAGATTTTTCTCTAATCGTCGAACCCATCCGTTATCACTGTGTAGTCATGAAATTAATATAGTATAGTCACAAGCTTTCTATAGCCACAGTTTTTCATATCCCGAAGGCGTAATTATATAGCGGTCTGACTGTATTAATAAGATTTATTAGCTAAATAAAAAAGGCTGTTTTTTTGCCTGATATTAAACCGAATTCTAGATTTTAGTAACAAATTTCTTCTATACTTTTCAGTTCAATCTATGTACATGTAAATTGTCATTATAAGCTAGTATTTAATTTACATGTACATGACATGTATGATAAAAGTAACACGACACTCTAAATGCATCTAAAATAAATCATATCGACAAATTTTAAAAGTGACTTTATAAATAAATGCTATTTATAAAAAAATATATTCCGCGCTTGCCATTTTTATCCAATCATTTATATGAATTATTATCTGAACTTACCAGATCTTATGTTTGGTGTTTTTTCTATTATTTGTTTTAATTTCCTGAAAAGCTAAATAAAGACAGCGACTAACCGTCCCGTATTTATGAGAAACGAACAAGGATACATTTTAAAAAAGAACAAAGAAAAGGGAAAACTGGATGAATGCTATATACAGCGCAAAAATGATGCAAGTAAAAAAGATGAATTGACGAATTATTAAACGAATCTTGATATATGCTATATGCTGTAATTATTATATTAGTGGCAAAGGTCTGTTTTTTAACAATGAGCATTCAAAACTCACGAAAACTTGTTGATATATTATTCAAAAACAAGAAGTACAAAACATGTTAATAAAATTTTGTGGAATTTTGTGTCAAATGTGCTGGATTGGGTGTTTGCATGAGTTAATTTTGAATAAAATTATTTAAAAATATTTTCAATAAGCAGTTTTGAAAAATCCTTAAATCAAGAAACAACACACCGTCTGATCATTACTAATCTTCTTAATCAAGATTTTATTGAAACTCATGATTCATAACTTAACTTCTAATAATCACTTTATTCATTAGCTGATGACACAAAGTGCATCTTGAACTACATGTTTATGGACTTCATCACAGCTTTAATATCTTTCACTATAATTTCTATCACTTTATCTAATGATGATTTTTCAGATCATCTTTCTTTTCTTTCTAAATTAAATATTAATAAATCCCTGCTTTCAAAGTTATTTTACATCAATTCAAACTATTTATTCAAATAAAAGTATCATTTTTACAAAACTATTTTTAATACAAAATATTAATAAATTCATATGATTAGAATTCAAATAAAAAATAAATTTCTTATATTATTAAAATTCTTTTCTTTTCAACTCTAATAATAGTAATAATTTAAATACTTTATGAAATATTTTAAAAATCACTCTAATTTAATTAAATAAATAATGGTTAAAAAAATTATTATTTAATAATATTATATTAACAAGAATCAAACTTATTTAAAGCAAAAAAATTACATATTAACTTCTTAAACTATTTTAAATATCAATATTAATTATTAATTATTACTTATTTTGGCAATAATAAAAATAATTATGCTTTAAAATATATTTAATATTATAAATTGACTTAATAAATATTGATAAAACTTAATAATATCTTCAAATCAAATTATAAAATAAAAAATACAAAATATCTAGCAATTTTTATTCAAATATAAATAAATAAAATAGATTTTAAAACAATATTAATATAAGAAAAAGATATTAAATTAAATAAAAAATAAAATATATTCTAAAAAAAACTTTTTTAAATTATTTTTAATTATATTATTAAAGATAATAATTATTTTAATAATTTAAAAGAAATAATAAATAAATAATAAATAATAAACTTAAAAAAAATGGTTTAATAATATTTTATTCAATTAATAAACTTATAATAAATAATATTTTTCTTCTAATTATAAATATTATCTTTAAAAAAGAACTTTTACTTATATTAAAAATCTTTTTAATATAAAACAACTGATATTTCTAATAAATTCTAAAGAATTTTAATTAAAAATACTTTTAAAATTTTATTAAATTAATATTTAATTCAAAATATATTTGTAATAATTGAAAAAACTTTTTATTATACTAATTTTCAATTTAAAAATTAAAAAAAATATTTTTATTAATTATATAATAATGATCAAGAGTAATAACTCTGAGACTAAATTTATTAATAAAATATAATGAAATTAAAATTTTTTCTCTATATTAAAATTTATAATTTTATTAAGAAATAATTTTTATTTTTATATTAAAGTTTATTAGTTATAATTTAATATATATTTTTTTCAGATTTTTTAGATTTTTTTTGAAAGAGTTACTCTAATTATAAAGTTAATATAAAAATTTTTACTAATTAAAATAAAATTTAATTTGTAATAATATTAGATTAATTATTAATAATTATATTTTATTTTATTTTACAGATCATTGCTATGCTATATACTGCGTCATACATGACTTACTATGTCACAATCACCTGATCATGCCAAGAAAAGTCACCCAATTATTTTGAGTTATTTTAG